ACTAATTGGCAAATGGTTAAACGCATCCTTAGGTATCCTAAAATGCTCATTTGATCATGGCTTATTACTATCTAACCCTCTGAAGATGCAACTTGAAGGATAAGCTTACGTCGACTGGCCGCATAAAATCCAAACAATCGAAAATCGACATATGGGTTTCGTATCTATCTTGCTAATGATCCTATTTCATGTTCAAAGAAACAATATTAATAATTTAATTTCGAGATCTAAGTACATAGAGGTTGAAAATCGTTCAATTGCTTTGACTGCTTTTTTAGTGACGAATTAAAATTTCGTCGCTACAAGATACTTTTAGCAACGAAATCTAATCGTCGGCGCTAAAAGTATCCTATGGCGATAAAATTTTAATTTGTAGTAAAAAGTTTTGTTTAAATTGAAAATTTTTAGGCAGAAAATATTAACGACGAATCAAACGTTTGTTGCAATAGGGTGCTTTTTACGACGAAAATTACATTTCGTCTCCAAAAGTACCTTGTAGCAACGAATTGAATTTTGTCGTCAAAAGTTTTGAATGATATGAGATTTTTTATTCAAAACTTCCAACGCTATAATGCACTTTTGGTGACTGAAAATTATATTTTGTTGCTAAAAGTTTTGAGAAATGAGTGGGAATTTTATAGCCAAATTTTTTAGTGAAAATTAGGACAACAGCTTATGGCTATGAAAGATATATTTCGTCACCATAGAGTACTTTTGGCCACGAAATGTAGTATTCGTCTCCAAAAATTTTGAGAAAAAAGTAGGAATTTAACCGTCAAATTTCTTAAATGAAAATTAAGGGGACGAAATTTATTTCATTGCCGTATAGGTCACGATTAAACCTCCTTTCCCTTTCATTTCTCCATTTTTTTCTCTTTCTTCCTCTCCCTTCTTTCATTCATCGCTTCTCCATCCTTCCTCCCCCTTGCTACCACGGTTTCCTCTCCCCTCCATCCTCTCTTTCCCCTCCCTCCGCTCTTCTCGCCGCTCCTCTTCCTTTGAGGTATAATTTTTAATTATTTTGTTTTTATTTTTTTAAAAGTAATCTAGTCATCTCGAAATCATAGGCAACTCATGCTTATTCGTCGCTATCATTGTCACTTCCGCATCTCTCTACTGTTCTTTGTAGGTATAATTTCAAACTTTCTCTACTGTTCTTTGTAGGTATAATTTCAAACTTTATTTTTCTCTGACTCTATGTTGTTACGAAATTGAAATCAAATTACTGTTGTTTTTTTTTATTGTAGATTTTTTAAGTCTGAATTTGATTGTTGAAGTATTACCGTAGAGAGTTGAATACTTAGAATTTTTATTTTGTGTTAGTAGGTGTTGGAAAATTTAAATTAATATATTTTCATTTTATCTCTAACCAAAATCACGAAGATAGATGTTAGCTTCAGTTGGATCTTTGACTACTATATCTTGAACTTTTTAAAGTTTTTATGTGTCCTTAATTCTGTTTATTTGATGATTCTAGTTAGTTTTCTATTCATGTGAAGATAAACTCATTGGTTAATGAGTTTTTGTATTGTGAAATTGATTTTTTTTGTGTTGTTTGTATCCTAGTTTTTGGTTTTGATAAATTCTTTAGAAGTTACTTAAGGAAGTTTGTCTTCTTTTAGAATCATTTTTCAATTCTTCAAGTAGGTTTGTGCCCTAGTTTTTTGTTTTGATAAATTCTTTAAGAGTGAGTAAATTAAATATGTTTAGTTTCCTTAGCCAAGTTTTAGCTAGTTTGACGCACATAGTGCTGGTTAATTTAGAAGGGTTTGTGAGTGAGACACGTACGTTTAGTTCCATTAAGCCAAGTGTTAGCTAGTTCGACATACATTTTAGGCTTGCTTGAGGTTATATTTAGTAGTATTAGAACAAACTTATTTAAATTTAATTTGCTCTAGCTAGTATAATTATTATGAACTAAACTATGCAATTGCATTAATTTTTTGTCTTCTTTCGATATTAGGTTTAGATTTATGCTGTAATCGAAATTTAACTTATATTGTATTTGACTTTTTGTACAAGACCATTGTAAAATCACTTTTTGTTTAATATAAATCTAAGTTTATATGATAATTTTGAATGCATGTTTATGAAGTTTCATTTAAGTTTGAAGAAATATTTAGGTAACAAGATTGTAACAAAAAAGAAAAAAAAAAGGATGGGTGTGCAGATTTTAGACAAAATCGAACATTTGGCTGAATTTTGTCGCCAAAGCTCTATGACGATAAAATCTGATTTTCATTACCAAAGGCATGTGGCGACAAAATTTGATTTTCATCACCAAAGGGTCTTTTGCAACGAAACAAAATTCGTCATAATTAGTCTCTTTGGCAACGAAAAATATGCTAAGGATCATTCAAATTTAAAAGCAAAGTCACGATGACTTTGAATTAAAATGATGGACAATATCATATACTATGGTAAAATATGAAGAATTGAATTGATTTTAGAGTAGCAAATAAGAGTTAGGTTGCAATTTTAGGTGTGGGTTCAATTCATTGCCTATTGGGATTGTAGACATCAATCATATCAATAGGCAAATTATAGCATAAGTGGTAGTGCTATGCGCATATCATAATTGAATACGTGGTTTTTGAATTTCACAATATATAGTTGGAGATTTTAATTAATTTTAATCTTTTGATGGAAAAAAAAAATAAGAATTATGCTAAGATTATTTAAGTGTTGACCACTAAGAGATGGATTCTGGTACATTATCTTTTTTACTCATGTTTTCATGTAAGTTTGTTAAATAGTTTAGCGGTAATTGACACATGAGACATTTTAAGTAAATTATAGACAATGGTCAAGAATTAAGGTTAAATCTTATTTTTTTTATTATTATCCCGGTGTTGGCTCCATTTGACCTTTTTATCCCTATACCTGTGGTATGCGCACTGTCTTCATATTTGGAAGTCGTCATTGTTGGATGGAGTGCATCTCAAGGATATTCCTTGAAGCCCCAAGCCATCCGATGGGGATAAAAAAAAAACTGACTAAAATTTTTAATACATCTACTCTATATATAAAAAAGGGCTATAAGGAAAAAATTTTCTCCCTACTTTATCCTTTTAATTTAATAATTTTCATATTTATTTGGGGATAATTTTGTCATTCAATATAAAATTTTCTCTTCCATTCTTTCCTTCTCCCTCATTTACCTTTCTTTTTTTTTTTAACTTTTATTTTCATTTCTTCCCAAATATTTTATATCTATCTTACAAATTATAATTAAAATATTTTGTAATTATAATTAATAAAGAATCTCAAAATTTTCGTACCTTTTATTTTCCACAACTATATAAAGAGTTTTTTCTCACTCTTTCTCCCAACTTTTTCTTCATCAAAACTTGAGCTTATTTTCTCTTTCCGTATGTTTTACTCCTCTAGTCAATCTCTTGTGTTTTCTTATTCAGTTAGATTATTTGATCGAACATTCACCTTTTAGTTTTTTTTTCTATTTGTAAATAATTTAATTTAAGGGGTGAGGAAAAAAGGTAAAAGAAAAAGAAAAAAAATGTTAAAAGAAGTTTAACTTTATCTTTTTTATGCTATTAAACCATGTGAATATATCATGTTACATGTAAGTGATAGTTGCATTGCTGTTGAGATAGGGGTATTAGTTTTTCCATAATTTTGACATTCATATTGTATCAATTTTCCCCAATCTACTCCTTTTTTATTGTTGGCTTATACGAAAACTTCCTCCTTTGAATTTTCAGTAGATGTAGGCCAAATGCTGAACCATATTTATTTGTGTCTTGATATCTAATTTATTATCTCTTGCGTAAATTTTCTTGATATCTTAAACTTACAATAATTGAGCCGTTAATTTGTGATGGTGGTCATTTGAAGCTAAAGGGAAAGAAGAAAAAAAATTGCAATTTTAATCCAATGTAAACTTCTTCAATTACACCCCTTTGCAAAAATGGGTACGAACAAAAAACTACAGAAGTCCCATTTAAATTAGAAGACCATGAGATGCAAAGCAAGATAATAGAATAAAGAAAAAAATGATATAATGTTAAGCGACTCTTCGACAATCATTTAAAACTATGAAAATTAAAAATCAATATACACATATGTGTGTATTTGTAACTCTAAACTGTGAATATGTATTTTTTATAGTGTAAACTTTAAGTTGTATTAATTTAGAAAAAAAAAACGAAGAAGAGAGAAAAGAAGGACGTTAGAGTGATGCGTAAGTTGTGTGTGTTTGTAACTCTAAATTGTGGATATATATTTTTTATACTGTAAACTTAGGCTGAAAACGTTAGATGATCCACGAGTTGAGGAAAAAATGGATACCAATAAGTGAGAAAAAGAAGGAGGTGAGATGGTGTAGGGAGTAAAAAAATGAGACAATGAATGGTCAAGACACTTTTTTAAAATACTAAAAGAGATTTGGATGAGATTATGAATTCTGATAAAATAATTAAAATAAAGGAATAACTAACACCTGTCATTTTAGTATTGAGACACGTGAGTAACAATGAGGAGCTAAGTTGAAACTAATTTTAGGAGTATGTGTCCTTGGCTCCCACGTGGATCCGTCCCTTACAATGGTTAATTTTGCCCAATAATCAGCCTTTATAACCTCATATTAATTTTCAGCCTTTATAATCTCATATTAATTTTTATATTTCCGAAGTTGTCCCAAATAAATTGACGCATTAAAACCAATGAACCAAACATCAATTTTTTTTTCTTATCTTTTTTAGTATGACATATGAGAGTGAAAGATCCAACTCACGATCTCTTTATTGAATATATATATTAATTACTGTAGAGTTATAGTTGTTTTGATACCAAACATCAATTTTTAATAAAAACATTATAACATATATAATTGAAACCAATTTCAGGAGCATGTGGTGTCTTTGGTCCCTACGTGGATCCGTTACCTTGTAGACCAGGGGTAATTTCGCCCAATAATCAGCCTTTATAACCTCATTATTTCTCCTCCCATCACCACATCCCTTCCCATAATCTAGAGAGAGATGATAACAGGAGGAGATTTCTACAAGGTGATGTGCGCCATGGTTCCTCTCTACTTCGCAATGCTGGTGGCGTACACCTCCGTGAAGTGGTGTAAGATCTTCACGGCGGACCAGTGCGCCGGGATCAACCGCTTCGTGGCGGCGTTTGCAGTCCCGGTGCTCTCCTTCCACTTCATCTCTCAGAACAACCCCTTTGAAATGGACACAAAGTTCATCGTGGCCGATACCGCGTCGAAGATATTCGTGCTGGTTCTCGTCTCGCTCGGGGTCGCCGTCTTCCCCGGCGTCGGCGGCCTCGACTGGGTTATCACTCTGTTCTCGTTGGCCACTTTGCCTAATACTTTGGTGATGGGGATCCCTCTTCTCAACGCCATGTATGGCCATTTCACTCAGTCTCTTATGGTTCAGCTCGTCGTTCTTCAATGCATCATTTGGTAACTTAACACATTAAATTCAATCTTTCCCTTCCTCGCAACTTCTTCTTCTTTTTTTTTCATGCTGTACTATATAAAAAGTAACCAAAAAAATAATAATAATAAAGTTATCACGTTTTATTTTTTTAATATCTGGAAGTCTAAGTTCAACAAATCCAAATTTTATTTCTTATTTTCCAATTCACTTATTGAAGTAAATTTGACAAGTTTTTGGTGGGTTTATTTAAAAAATAGTAATATATGTACTTACTGAATTATATGGGTAGATTTCCCATCCACCACTGTTATGTTTTTGTTACCAAAAACATACTTAAACAGGGGATTACAAGTTAAATTGTATGTCTGTACTTATTAAGGTAGGCAATATATAAGTAAGGTTTTTAATTTATCAATATAATTGTGTTTTTTTAGTTAAAAATGACCAGAGATAACTATCAACCTCTTTTATTTAATCTACTTTAAGTGGGGTGAGAGATTCAAACTTTCGATCTCTTTGTCCTAAATATATGTTAATTAATTACTCTTCTAGATTCATGTTGGCATAACCATCAAATTTTAGTATCTTATAAAGTCAATTATATACGGATTAAAGTCAATTATATACGGATTGACTATATAATTATGTTACTATCGTTTTTCAGGTATACATTGTTGCTCTTCCTCTTTGAATATAGAGCGGCTATGTTATTGATACAAAACCAATTTCCTGGCCCCACTGCTGCAGCTATTACCAAATTCAAACTCGACGCTGACGTCATCTCACTCGACGATCGAGACCAGTTGATCTTGACGGAGTCCGAAATCGACAACGAAGGTCGAATTCGAGTCAGAATTCGACGGTCAACCTCGTCGGCGCCAGACTCTAGTTTGTCATCAATCGGCATTACGCCGAGAGCGTCGAATCTCTCCAATGCGGAAATCTTCTCCATCAACACCCCGACACAGCTCAACAGCCCGCACCAACCCACCAACTTGAATTCCGGGTACTCGTCGGACATGTACTCACTCCAGCCGACCCCTCGGGCATCAAATTTCAATGAGATGGAGACGACAACGACGGCGGGGAATACTCCGACGTGGGGGAGGTCCCCGATGGGTGGGAGGATTTTCCGGCAGGGAAGTCCGGCGGTTGGGAGCGTGAAGATGGTGTGGGAGTCGCCGGAGAATGGAGGAGGAGAGGGACAAGGATACAAAGCTGTATTGCCAGGTACGTAGATTGTTGTCGTTTTTAGAAGATGAAGGGACAAGACATTGTCGTTTTGACAGACAAACTTTTCAGTTTCATTTTTGTACGTTTGGTCTCCGCATAGCCTACGAAGTGGACCTCCCGTGTCAACAGAATTAACTAACTATATTAAGTGAATAATAATAATAATAATAATAATAATAATAATAATAAAACCCTCTTTTTCCCCCCTCAAATTCAAATTCATTACTATTTAAAATGATACTCTTTTTCATTGCTTAATATTCCTTCTTTCATAGAAAATTAGAACCTATTTGCTTTTCTTAAGCGCAATTTTATTTTTTTTTCATGAAATTAATTTTCTTTTAATGGTTATTTTCTTTTTTCTTTCTTCTTTTTTTTTTCTTTTAATTATAGTCAAATGTTAAAAATAAAAAACATGTCTGTGAAAATGATCACTTTGTTTCTTTTGATATTTTAATTAATAGATTACAAATAAGTTGAAATATTTTTAATTTTGTGAACAACTTCTCTCACTTTTCAAAATTTTGAAAATAACAAAGAAATATTTGAAAACTGCCATTTTTGAGTTTGATCGACGATCTCTTTTTTTTTTTTTTTGACCCTAGAATTATTTAGAAACGATTTTCTTAACTTGTTTTCGAGTTTAGTAAATTGGTTTTTAAATTAGCTCAATTAAATAGCTAAAAAAAAATTAGTTTTGAAAATTCTGCTAATTTTTTATGTACTCAGATTTGTCTAAAATATCAATGTGTTTTGTTTATTCAAAAATTATATATATATATATAAACTAAAATAATTAATAAATAGACTCTAAAATTATAATAAATTTTACGGCCTATTCTTCAATGTTTCTACTGTCTTTTATAAATTAATGTCCACATAAAATAATTAGAACGAATTTTATTTTTACACCTAAATCTAGACCAATAAATCAAATTTAACCTTGAATTTTTAGTTCCATCCTATTGAATCCTAAACTTGAATAAATTAGTCCAATAGAAAAAAAAAACAGCAAAATATCTTAATCCAACTAAAAAACATGATAAGAAGAAAAAAACTTAATATTAATTTCACCCAACATTGAATTTCAAGTTTACTTCATCCTATACTCAAATCTTCCAAAGTAGAAAACTTAATATTAATTTCACCAAACATCGAATGTGAGGTTGATTTTGATGAAATTTAAAGTTTAGAAACTAAAATTGACACACAAATTTGAGTAGATAACTGATAATATAATAATAATAATAATAATAGAATCGAACTATTTTTCTTTTAATGTAGAGTTGCAGGGCATAAAAGGCAACAGAATAGAGTCAAAGGAAATAAGTAAAAAGATTTGAGTTTTTTATGAATATAGAGGGAGCCATCATTTGAAAGAGATCACGTGCATAATCATGGAGGATGGCTTTAATTGATTGCCCAATTCACAATTAATTGTCAACAATCCAATTATGATGCAACAAAATTATGATCTTTGCCTACAAATTTCCTTCCTTTGATTATGGCTGTCTAACCATGTTTTCATTCTTTTTCTTCCATTCTTCTGTTTGGTAATTGTTAGGGTTGTAAAAACTACTTTTAATTCCATAGCTATGTTTTTTTCTTCATCTTTTTATTTTGTTAACTACTTTTTTAAAACATTTTCAAAATTTAAATTACAATTTTGAAAACAAAAGAAAAATTATTTTTGTTTTTTAAGTTCGACTAAGAATTCAAGTGTATATTTTAATAAAGGTGGAAAAACATATCAAAGATCAAGATTACAATGAGGAAGCAAACTAATTTAAAATCGAACGAGGTCTGGAGTACTTGTGTATATGTCTTTATCATAAATTTAGTATCAATGTTTCAGATCGTGACATGCTTCTATTTAGTCTCTATATGTTGTTAACCTAATTGATAGAATGTTTTGACCAATGTGGTATTTGTTAGTCAAATTTTGGCTTAGTTTGCATGATGTGATAAACTTTTTCTCTCTTTTTTCGTTGGGTTCAACAAAATATTGTTTGGAGGGAAGATTGAAGTAGATTTCATCTTAAGGAGGTAATAACTGCCTTATCAGCTTAGCTGTGCTCAAATTGAGTATATGATAAACATTGAAATATGCCAAAATGAATGTATAATATCAACAATTCAGTAAAATATGGTGTTTAATGACAGAGAACTACATATAATTAAGTATGATATCTAAAGTTTAAGAACCTAGTAAAATTCTTTTATAAATTTAATGAGGGGTTAGATATATTCAAATCTCATGATAACCACCTACCTTAGAAATTAATTCTTATATGTTTCTTAGTGTCAAATGTGGTAGAGTAAGGAGACTGCCTAGTGAGATTAGTCGAGATGCGCGTAAGCAGGTTCGAACACTCATGGAGATCAAAAGAAAAATTAGATATGGATTTAAGTTAAACTTAAATCTTTAATATAATTTTTTTTAATATAACATGTATTGGAGTGAGGATTTGAACTGACAATCTTTTGGTTGGAGATAGGTACCTTAACCAGTTAGTTATTCTCGGTTGAAAATGTTTAATATAAACTAACTCAATAAAATATCACAAAAGAAAAAAAGGTTACAAACATACAAGATTTAATATTATGAAAATTTTGATTTTTTTTCTCTTTTTTGTGAGTTAATGAAATTTGACCTTAAAAGTTGAACAAGGTGGCTAAATAGCATCTTCAAAACCAACTATAAAATTGTTCATCCAATAAATCATGTAAAGTTCATATACAAAACCCATAAAATGCCCAAAATTCATATAAAAAACACTCAAACAAACTAGAATGACCAAACTACCCATGAGCCAGAAAATGCCCAAATC